TATTTGTGACGCTGTGGACGTACGTGGTTTACAGAACTAATCTGGTCACGGATGTCTGGAGTCGTTTTGCGGGCTGTGATGTACAGAAACGGATCTGTGTATGAGGTGTTCAGCGTCCGTCTTGCTTTGCGGTAATTAAACTCGCTCCACACAGAAATAAACACTTTGGTTGCATAAACGTAATGATTGACGCATTTTTAGAAACTCAAAATTTTAGATTTTAGAAAACAGAACAAGGGTAATGGTTTGGAAACACAATTATTCTTCTACACTCTTTTTTCCCCAGATTTTCAAGCGATAAAATCAAATTTTAATCCTCCTTTTTTAGTGCAGGAACCCTGGAATCTGATTAAATTTAGCAAAAAATACCCACAACTTTCAGAATAAAGTGCTGTCACTCTTTCTTTTCCAACTAATTTAGCAAAATAAATCCACAAACAAGAAATCACTTCGCATTCATATGAGAAGGGTAAACAAACGTCACTTTAAATTGGACATAAAGTCCCTTTAACAGCAGTAAATCAAGATTAAAGCCACAAACTAGCTCAGCAGGTTTTAGAAGAATAAAAATGGAAACTTTTGGCAAAAGTACTTCCTAAAATAAAAAAGCAGAGACAAGCTAATTCAGATATAGTCTGCGGCTTTTCCAGAAAAAGGCAGCTGTGAATAAAAAGCCCTCAAACGTTCCATCTCCAGTCAATTAAAACCAAATTACACTTTGCTTAAAACATAATGATTAATGCATTTTTAGAAACTCTAAATTTTAGATTTTAGAAAACAGAACAACGGTCGCCATCTGGCACACAAATATTTTTCTACACTCAAAGGCTTTTCCAGATTTTCAAGCGAATAAAATCAAATTTCCTACTTTTTTTGTACTGCAGGAACCCTGGAATCTGAATAAATTGAGCAAAAAAAACCCACAACTTAAAAGAAAAAAGCGCTGTGTCAGTTTTTTTTTTAAAAACCTGAGAAAACAAGAGTAGAAAACTGCTCCAGTTCTGTCCAAATATTTTGTGTTTATGTTCGATATCATTCGTATTAATCCTTAAGAAATAAAGCTTTTGCATCCGTAAACGTTCATCAGTAGAGTCATGCTGCTGAGGAGGGTCACATACCTGGTGTTCTCGTCATAGAACTTGACCTTCCTCATCACAGACGTGTTGTACCAGTCGCTGAAGATGATGAGCGACAGGCCGTTGTCGATGTCCCTCCTCAGCTTGGTGATCTCTTCGGGGAAATACTCCTCCTCGCTGTCCACCATCAGCAGAGTGCCTGCAGGGACGCACATAATCCATTTAGTTGTTATCGTCTTCCGAGTAGAAAGACTCCACTGACCGCCCGCAGCTGCATTAGTCATGTTAGAGCAGAAAGCTTTGTGTGTTTTCGTGCGTTCGTACCGTACTGGCTGGCATCAAAGCATGTGATGGGAGCTCCCAGCACCTCCACAAAGTAGCCCATGCTCCTCAGGTGCTGGTACATGTCCCTGAAGTTGGTGTGGATGTGGTCCCCGTTCCTGGAAACAATAATCCACATTCACAGGCGTAAAGCTCAACAGATTTAGTGAAACAGGAAAAAAAAAAAAAAAGGTCGACTCTGGAGACACGCACCAGTCCAGCGGGTCGTTCTTCATGCGGAGGTTGTCTCGGGGAAAGTAGCCGGGTGGGTAGCGCAGGTTGTGGTACTGGTCCCACAGGACCCTCTTGCTGCGGGGCGGAGTCGGCACGATCTTCACCTTGATGGGCAGTTTGACCGTGGAGGTCAGCTCGCCTCCCACCTCCGACTGCAACGAGAGACGAGGAGAGTAGAGTCTTAAAACAAACTCTTACTGGAGAGGCTTTCTTAAAAGGTCTTTTGCTATAATTTAATACTATCCTTGTACCTTTCCTACCCTGCATTGGTTTTTATATAAATCTGTTGTTTCCTGCCTCTAAACTTAAAACATTTGCTGCTGATGTGAAGCACCTTGTCATGTGTTTTGAGAAGTGCAACATAAATTAAGTTTATTATTATATTATTATTATTATTATTATTATTACTACTACACATGCTACAAGCGCTACAACAGAGATTCCAGCCAGGATTGCTTGCACTTTACTACTGCAACGAGAAAGATAACAACAAAAATGTGATTTTATCAATAAATAAACTCATATGTTTGTGTTAGAGTATTTATCTCCAGTATCTAATAAGCCCTCGACAGCCTAAATGAGCTGCAACACATTAAAAAGCCGCCAGTGTGCTGCCACTGAAAGTAAATTAAGTATTAAGTAGGCTGATAAATTTAAATAAAAAAACAGCTGAAAGCAATAAATGAATGGTTTAAGTAGTTTATGGAGATGAAATGGTGAAGTAAAGGAACAGAAAAACTGTAGAAATAGTTAGCTAAACGTGATGGGTTTAGAAATAGTTAGCAAAAGTTAAATGGTAAATAGCAGAGACAGACCCTAGTGAGGATTAAGCAGTGTATAGATAAAGGATGGATGGCTGGATAGCAGAGGCAGTTAACCAAATGTAGTGGACAGAACAGTTAAATATTCACATCTAAGCAATTTACAATCAGCTGAAACAATGAGCTAACAGGTCGTGCATAAATAACTGAAATGGCAAGAAAAAAAAAAGTGAAAAAGCAAAATTTAAAGCATAAATAGCCCATATAAAGTCATATGACAACTGCTGCGATTATTACCTAAAACTAACAGTTAAAATAGTCAGCAAATAATACTTCATAAAGTTTGAATATATAAATGTATATTTATTATATTTTAATGTTTAGAATTTATAAACAGCCAAAATTAATTAGAAATTTGTTGAAATAAATAGCTAGAAGCAATGGATTTAAAAATGTACGTACGAAACGGCTGCAAAAGTTAACCAAAAATAATGTTTGAACTGCCAAAATATTTAACAAAAATTAATATATACACTGGATTGATTAGCTACAGGTAATGGATAAGCAGCTAAAATAGTAGCATAATTAATACAAGAGGTAAAAAAAACTACATTTAAGGCATAAATAATTCAAATTAGTTCAGAAACAGCTACACAAGCTAAATAAAAATAATGCACACAGCTAAAACTAACTTAGAAACTGTTGCAATAACTGGTTTAAACTAATGATTTTCAAATAATTTCAACTAATGAACAGCTGAAATAGTAATAATATACCAAAAATAACAGAAAAAACTGTTGAAATAAAACAGATTAATGGTAAAACAGTCAATAGAAACTTCGTGGTGTGACGTTAAACTGTATGAAAACATACTGTGAATATCAAACTGCACTGCTGCGTAATGTTACTAAATATATGCAGCTTGTGAAGTAAACACATCTGTTCGGGGTTTGGAGATGCATCAGATGAGTTGTGGCTCTACAAAAAGCTAAAGCAGCTTAAACTCTCCGGCGCTGCTGCTGCTGCGGCCACTCACATCGTTCTCTGCAGGCGACGCCACCGTGACCATCACGTGACCTTGAGCGATGCCTTCCCACGACGCCGCCTTCTTGGCCACGGAGATGGACACGGCCAGGTAACCGGCCCACGGCCACAGCACCGGCGAGTACGAGACGGCCACGTCGATGTGGTCGCCGTTCTGGGGGAGGTAAGGCTGCCAGATGGGCTGGACGGGAGAGAGAGAGAGAGCTTTAGTGGGCTGTCTAAAGAAAACATCGGGTCAGTCCTTCACTCCGCCTCTCAGAGCGCTTTAACACCAACGACTTCTCACCTTGTCCACGATCCGGCCGGTGACGCCCATGCCGTTGAGGATGGTCACGTTGACGATGGTGGGCATCCCTCCGTAGTAGATGGGCTGAGAGCAGTAAGGCCACATGTAGGGACACTCGGTCAGGTCGATGTAGCTCGGAGAGAGACTGGGAGGAGACGAGGACCAGTCAGAATAATACACGACTCTGGTTTAACAGTTCAGAATTCACACATTGTCCTGACAGTAGGGATGGAGAATAAGGGTCACACAAGAAGAAAACAGTGGTTAAGGGTTTGAATAATTGGCGAAAGGTAATAGGTGAAGAGCTGAAATTCTGGAATGAACAGATGAAATAGTTAATAGTAGAATAAGTTGGCAAACAGTAGAAATAGTTCAAATTGTCAGATAAACAGCTGAAGCAGTAAGTAAAGCCGAAAGAAGCAAAATTTAATGCATAAAAAGCTAAAAACAGCTCATTTGTAAACAGTTGCAGTTAATGGTTGAAACTGTTAGCTGAGAGCAGCAAGGCCACATGTTTGGACACTTGGTCAGGTCCATGTAGTTTGGAGAAAGACCGGGAGGAGACGAGGACAGATTAGAATAAAATCCAACTCTGTTTTTATAATTATTAATAGTGTTCTGCTACATGCAAGACACTAGAGATGCATGAACAAGGCTGCACTTTCAAGCTGTTCACAGATGTCATGGTTTCTCAGAAAGGTTTGGAGCTGAATAGAAACAACTTTTTCCACAGTTTTGGGCAGAAAAAGCAACTTGGACACGAGCCAGATGGAGAGACTTCCTCACACTTATTTCTTAATTAAATAATAAAGATAAATTCGAAGTTCCACGTTCTGTCATCTGCTATGAAATGATTTTGCCAGATGTTTTGTGTTTCTGATCCGTATTGATATGCTTTTTTTTTTCTTTTATCATCAAAAATACATAATTCCAGTAGAAGTTTGCATCCCAGTGTTTACAAAATAAATACAGGGCTACAAAGAAAACTCCAAAATACTGCGCAGGATTCCCTGAGTGCTAAAAGGAAAGCAGATATAGCTGTAGTGCATGAAGTGACTGTAGAAGAAAAACCCAAAAAATTACACATGCCAAAGAACAACAAAAACTACACAAGGTGGATCCAAGTGCATAAAAGAAACATGAGGAAACACCAAAAAAACAAAAAACAGAGAGAACAGAATACAAAGACGGAAAACTAATCAAGCTAAATCCAACAACATCCAGTCATGTCATCTCTTCATCAAAACAAAAACGCGTCATTTCTTTCCGTCCCTCCGAACTCGGTATAAACTCATTTATATAATACTTTTAGTCACAGATTGATGTATTAGCTGAACTCTGGTTTGCCTGAACGCAGACTGAGACGGATTGTTTTTATGGAAAACTCTCTTCAACTGTAATTGTGTCAGTCTGAGCCCGTCCTTTTCCTCCCAGGAGGCAGCGCTGTGACAACGCTGGACCGGTCGGGGTTATGTAACCATTAAGATGAAGATCAGAGATTTCTGCACACGCTTCTGCATCCCTGAACTAGAGATCCACGTACCTGGCCTGAGGTCTGTAGCTGTTGAGGATCTGGTAGGCTCGGATCAGGTCCAACTTCCCGTGGCCCTGCTCGAACATGTTGACGCCGGGCAGCCTGCGGGCCGAGGCGATCAGGGCCTGCTTCATGGAGGCCGGGTTCACCAGCTCCCGGTTCAGGACGGTGCTGGAGGACAACGAGGAGGGCAGGTTTTAGTGCATCTGTCAGGGGTGTCAGATTCCTCGGATTCAGATTGTTCTCCCGGGAGAAGGGCGAGGTGTCTCCCAGTCAACAAGGCCGGCAGGATGCTTAACCCGGCAACACGAGCCGACGGATGGGCTCGGTTACAGCGCCGCAACAACACGGCCTTTCACATGTCAAGACGGGATATTGACAGGCTGAGAATAACGGCGAGCATTAATCAGCGACACCCCTCCGTCCTCTCAGATACGTTTCACCGTCTGCTCATGTCGGATTTCAAAGCCGGAGGTGATTAAACCGTATCATAACAGACACTCACTCTGAGCTCATTTAGTTTCCAGTGAATCTCCAGGACGAGGTTTCTGGAGAACATCACTGTCGGCTGCCTACTTTTTCAACACTTGACATCAGAAGAGTTTCAGACTTTAGCAAGTGGGACGACCTAAAGTTCAGTCAGTTTGTTCTAAAAACCAGACAAGTGCAAGAATCCGCCCGGCTGACTGCTGCTCCACGGGAAGAAAGTGCATCATTACCAGCTACCCTGCCAACTCTGTGCTACAGCTGGGTGTTGAAGCAAAACACTTTTTGGGAACAGACGAAAATACACACAGAGCACTGAGCGTTGAATTAGAGTTTAATTAACCTTTAGGTCTACATTTTAGTATTTTAACAAACTTTTTACTCACCTGTTTGGGTTTAAACAGCACTTAAGCTTTGAAAAGTCTTGTTTATTTTGTAGAAATGGAAAAAGGTGTGAAGACTTCAGTTACTCTATGAAGCATGAAATCACCAATAACTGCAATGCAACTGCAATTTAACTTAAAAGCTAAAAACAATCCAAAAAGAATTAACACTGCTGATTGGAATTTAAGTCCTGTTTAAAGGGTTAATTCTGGTTTATTCCAACCTGGTTTTACTTCCCATTATTGTGGCTATAGTGGTTGTACAGGTTATGCTCAGTGTGCACTCTCAGAGTCTGTGTGAAGTCATGTGTGGATGAATATATCGATTAATAGGTCAGCCATCACTTTGCCCCTGGTGGAGATCGCTAATAAAGTTAGCAAAACAGTCAACCCAGGTGGCTAATTTATGTTTTTGCTCTCAGTTATAACAAAAAACATACATTTAAAGTCATTTACGTAAAAATTCTTATTTCCTCGAATCTCTACAATAGTTACATATCATATTTTAACAGCATGCGATAGAAGAAAATCTGTCATTCTTAATTAGGTTCCTTCATTAATAAAGATTACTGCAGGGGAGTACGTATGCTAGCAATAGGAGTAATGACATTTGAGCATCACAGGAAATCAACTCGATGATATTGAACAATTTGTCTCTTCTTCTTTCACATTCCATATTCTTTTACCTATTCTGTCACTAAGGTTGAGACCAGGGGTGGGCAATCCTGGTCCTGGAGGGCCACAATCCTGTATGTTTTAGATGTTTCCCTCTTCCAACACACCTAATTCAAATGATCAGCTCATCATCAAGCTCTGCAGAAGCCTGACAACGATCCTGATCATTTGAATCAGGTGTGTTGGAAGAGGGAAACATCTAAAACATGCAGGACTGTGGCCCTCGAGGACCAGGATTGCCCACCCCTGGTCTAGATGTTAAAGCATTATTAATTAGTTACTGTTTCCAAAACACTGTTTCAGGTTCATCTGTGGCTGTCGCGGTTAGCGTAGCGTTAGCCACCGTGAGAGCAGCTAGTTTACTGTTTGAGGCGTCGGTCCGTGACATTTCTGAGACCACAAACAGAGAGAGGCAGCTTCATGAGACTAAAGGGATCATGTTTAATTTATCTATAATCAGTTAATAAAAGTAAATAAATAAATACCGGCCCTGATTATCAGCCAAGTCCTGGTTCAAACCACAAACCATCTTAAAAATTGTGACCACAACAGCCCAAACTCAGCAAACTCTAGCATTTACTAACATGTGGCGGTACGTTGTCAGAGCTGTAATGTTATTCCATAAAATATGATCAGGCACTTCTTATGTTCTTTCTCTGAATGTTTTACTGACAGAAATTATCACTGCTGCTGCTGCTATGTGTATGTGCAGCAGTGTTCCCGCAAAGAAGGTAAACATAAAAAAAATAAGGTCAGACCACACACATCTGCGAACTCGACCTTCATTTTGATCTATGAAGTTTCATTTCGCACAGTTGCTATCATGTTGGTAAAACACTCACACACACAAACACCTGCCGAAAGACTGAAAACTGTGTTTGTGGTACAGTCGGTCTATTTAGGACACAGACTTGCAAGGTGAAAAACAACATAACGACTGGTAATGAATTGTTGTCTTTGGAGCAAAGCAGAGGAATCCGGTTTACGAAACTGACCTGGCCAGGAGCGTGACGGCGCCCGCCACCACCGGAGAAGCCACGCTGGTGCCGGACAGAGAGCGACATCCCTCCTTCATCCCCGAACCCCAAACGCCCGAACCGTAGGTGACGATATCAGGCTTCACTCTGCCGTAACCTCCCGGCAGCTCCTGCACAGAGATCGGACACAGATACTCAACATGAGATACAGATAGAGGGGCTGGAAAAGCAGCTCGAGATTGAAAAAGTATTCATTGTGCGACCAGTTTGACCTGTATAATCTGATACGCATGTAGAGCAGAAAGCAGCCTAAACATCGCTGACGTTGTTCCTGTAGTGACGCTGTGCTTTCTTTCTTTCTTGTGCATTTATAAACACACAGATCAGCATGTTTTCCCCCCACACGGCAGCGACAAAAGCCGTAATTCGAAATTCAAAATAGCTCTTACTCACGTCTGCGCCTCGTCGTGTCATTACGCCTACGCGGTGAAGTCAGAGAGGCTCCCAACTGTTTACAATACGAGCATCCCGCAAGACGTCGGGGTCGACTCTAAACGATGACTAACGCGCACATCAAAGCGAAGATGGAAAAAGAAAGCGACCGAGAAGAAAAGTAGGTTGGATTTTTTTTTTTTAAATGCTGGATGCAGGTTGGAAGCTGAGTGGGAGAGCGAGGCCTCTTCATGGCTGGCTGGCAGCGCTACACGGGGCAGAGAAGTCTTAATCAGATCCCAGAGCAGACGTCTGCTTTGGGCTACGACTGATAACAAACTCGGCGAGCTCTTGTGTGTGTGTGTGGATGTACAGTAAGCGGCTGATGGGATGCGGATGACGGATCAGGACCCTTACATTACGGTCAACAGGCGCGAAAAAGCAGAGGGCAGATCTCGGAGCCCTGTCTGGGTGACCGGTGTGTGTCGGAGTGTGTAATCCTGCAGCAACTCACCCAGGTGGTCATGCCTCTGGAGGAAAACCTGGCGATGTTGTCCTCGAAGTCGATGCCTCCCACTCCGATCACGTCCATCTGGTCCGCCGGGTTGTTCAGGGTGCTACGGGAGACAGTTTGAGACTTAACGATTGACGGTTCACTGTTCCACGTCAGCGTCACAACAACAACTTCCTCCTTCTAGTGATGTTTTGTAGCGATAAGAGAGTTATCGATGCTTTTGTTTAAAGTGCAGTCCCTTTCTCTGGAATGACTTCCTTTGCTGTATGATGCTAAACTGCCTTTTGTTGTTGTCTAACAATGATAATATAGATGTTTTCTGTTTTATTGGTCTGACGGGAGGTTATCTGGATAATAAAAGTGGTTAAATTTAGTGTAAGTGAGCATTCATGTGCAATTAAACAGAGGAAAAGAAAAGCTACATTCTATTACTGTTTGTATTTTTTATTATTATATTTATCGGAAATTTTGATCACCTACTTTTTTTTTAAGCTTTATTTATTTTATATTAATTTTATTCACTTTTACTCTTTATTTAGCTACATATTTCTTTTATTTATTTACTATTGTTATCATTTTAAGCCTTGTGTTTATGGTTTTCCTCCTGATTTTCTTTTGTTCCTCTTGTTCTTTCACTCACTCTCTACTTTTGTCATTTCATCTGGTGATGTCGCAGTAATTTGTTTTAAAAATCTTTCACCACGTTTGGACTGATCGGCCTTCTGTTGTTCAATATTCTCCCTGAGTTTCCTTCTTTTCTTTATTTTCCCCCCTTTCTGTGAAGTGCTTTGTGAACTCTGTTTTTCAAAAGGTGCCACATTAATAAAGTTATTATCATTAATAATACACCAAAATAGACCAATGGTGTGGTGAAACTAAATAAATGTAAACCGCTGCATTAAAGTAAAACGAAAGCTGTGTTTCTATGTAATTGTCAAGCACATATTAGATAACCGTGTTGCAAAAAATGAACTGTTTTGGAGCGAATGCTGTCGTCAGAAGGTGGCGCTATAGGCTACATTACACACAGCTGGAATAAACAAGTAGAAGACGCCGGAAACTAAACCTGGACTGTGGTTAAAATGGCCCATTTTGTCTTTTTTAAAACTTTCAGTACATTCTGCAGCTGCTGTTAGAAAGTACGCACCGTTTCCTGCAGTATGCAAACAATCGGGACATACGACTTCGTTATAATATTGCACCTTAAACTCTGAACACTTTCGGCACATCAAGCCTGTTTATAATTGCGCGAGACAATGTGATGTAACTGAGCAGAGGATTATGGGTGAAAATGTCCAGAAAAGCAGGCTGGCTTGCAAAATACTGCAAAATGTAGTCGGACATCTGGGTATTTTTGTCATTGGAATAAACTAAATCTCCTTCTGGATACTTAAACGCACCCCAGTTGTTCATCAGCCGCTAAAATACAACCTCAAAGAAGAAACGAGCAAAACTTTGAGGCTTCTACAAGAAAAAAATGGAGACAAAGGAGCTGTAATCATTCTTTATGTCAGCTGCTATTAATGCCGTCTAGAGACAAAAGTGTCAGAACTTATTAGGAAATTAACTCTTTCAAAAACAAACAACAACAAAAAAAGAGTTTAAAACCACATCAAGCAGCGATATTAAATGTTTTTGGATTCTGTTGTTTCCATTAACTTTTTCAAATGCCATCATTTAAAATGCAGATAAAAAAATAATGGAAACACTTTTCAATTAAAACGTTCACGCTAATGAGGAACCAGCGGAACATCGGTGGGAACTACTGAAAGTCCATTATGTTAAATCCTGTTTGTGAAGCACCGCGCAAATATGTAGAAGGGAGGGCAAACAGTGTAAGTGCTTTTAATGAAACACTAACACGTGCAAAGTAACGCTGCCACTGTGCTCTACTGCAACTGCATTATTAGCACAAGTGGAAAGGAGTCATAAAGTCAACAAACTCAGTGTGATGTGAATTACAGAGTAATATTTACCCAAATGCTGCAAACAATCACCACCCTGACTCACTGGACAGACCATGCCTGACCTCGAATTAAACTAAAGTATCTTTGTTGCAAAAAATTATGCGCAATCTCCCTTTAAGTGTCCTACAGAAAGCTTGTGTTAGCAGCAGCAGCCAATAGTTGCACATTTGGTGGTCTTACAATCATTATTCAACCATTTCCTGAAAGATGGTCACAGTTGGGATTACATGTTTTATCAAAAGTCCTTCTTCTGAAGCGTTAATGATGTTCGGAAGCTGCAGAGATAAACGTACCCATACAGAGGTCCATCGTTGCCGATAGCAGAAACCATGATCACTCTGTTAGCCGTCAGCTCCCAAACCTGTCGGTTCAATACAAACAGAGAAAAATACATTAAGAGGATGTTGGAGAAAACATGAAACCTTCCCACTGGGTTCCTGAATAGAGCGTTTCAATAGGACCAGTGTCTGAATAATACTTTGTCACAGGAGTCTCTCCTTGGCTGCTCTTTTCACACATTGCATTTTAATCTTAACAACAAGTTGATCCAGATTCCTGCTATTCAATACATAATTCACATTATGCTGCTGTATGCCTTCGGGCTGAGGATTTGTAACAACAAAAGCAGCAGAGGACATGTTGTTGAACTCCATTAGAAGGCAGGAAACACTTAAAGGAGCGTTTCCAGTTCATACGTCTGGTTTGTGCCGACAGCTGACCAGCTCATTGACACGCTGTGAAAAGGGCGTAACGTAAAAGGATCAAAGGGTTGTTCGACGAGAGCGTCAAAACATCAGCTCGATCGGGCTGTTTATCAACGGCCAGAGAGCATGCATCACCTTATCAACAAAGGGGTGATCCATGAAGTCGGGTCCGCCGATGCTGAGATTCAGGACGTCGATCTTCTTGAGGATGGCGTAGTTGAAAGCATCCAGGAACCACGAGGTGTACGAAACCTGGGAGGCGAGAAGAGACCAAAAAAAATAAACCTCACAGTCAGTTGGAACTAATTTGATTAGCTGCTGAGAAGGATTGCTTTGTGTAACTTTCAGAGCCTGTGTGTACCTGGTTGTTGGTGAAAACTCTGAAGATGTGCAGCTCTGAGTCGGGGGCGAAGCCTTGACACTCCCTCATGCTGGCTATGACTCCTGCTACAAACGTACCGTGACCCAGACCTGAAAACACACAGTCGATGAGCTGCGGCTGATCATACACACTGGCAGCGTTAAACCAGATATAAAGCAGAATTAAAGGCATTCAAAAACACACACACCATAACGTCTCACTACCTGAGATGTCTTTATTATTAACCATCTTGGTTTGTGTCGTCCATCACTGCAAACACTTCATAACTTCAATCATATCCATGTAATCAGTGCATGTAGACATTTACTCTAAAAGCTTTCCTGCTGAGCACATTACAGGCCGATACAACGAGATGTCACTTGATCTCACAAACCATCAACTGGGTTTATAATCCATTGCAGAACCACTGCTATTTTTGGAGACTTTCGAATGTTTTATTTCCTTATTTATCTTGTACATTTTCTTTATTATACCTATATTTTTAGTCTACTTGTACTTTTGGAATTGCTTCTTCTTCCTTCCCTCATCTGTATCTAGCAGCTGTAACATTTCTCCAGTGAGGGATCAATAAAGTTGATCTCATCTTAATAATAACTATACAAACAATGACTGGTTAAAAAGATTATAATTCTTTTTTGATTTTAGAACTTCTTTTTTTTTTTTACTGCACTTTATCTACTCAAATGGTCCATCCTGTGCTCAAAAAAATGGCATCAATTATTTGCTTGTTTTTAAGTACTAACATTAAAACACATACACAACTGCAAATATTTATTTTCTTAGTGGGGTTAAAAAAACAATTTTAAAACTCCAGAGCTCCGTTTCTGTGGTGCAACTTGTCAAACCTGCTCAATGACTTATTGAAGTTTAACAAAACTAACTTTCTTTTCATTTCAGTGACCACGTATTTCATGTTAAAAAGTATTCTACATGTTTGGTTTGGTATTACTGTGACATGAAGCTACACGGAGTTCAGAAAATATCACTGGTTGACTTCTTTATCAATTTTCTCGTTATTTGCTCAAAGACGGGACTATTCAGGAGATAATTTAAGCTACTTGTTCAATACTGCAGATTTTGAATCAGTGAGAAATGAGAGTAAATATTTCAGACTTTTATCTTGAACAGTTCCTGAGATATCGTCGTTCAAACATCGACTCACATTTCAACGCGTGAAAAAATGTAATCCAAGTGGGCTGACGGGCAATTTAAAAACAATAATAAATAACCTTATCTCTTATTTTAAATGTTCATAGTTTATGATTTTTTAAAAAAGGTTCTAAGTAAATCCGAGACAGTGGAGCAAAAGGCTGTCAAGACTTCAGTAACAGGAAGAAAAGTGTCAGACTTCGGAGGGTTAATATAAACTTTTATCAACAGCATGAGCATGTTCCTCCTCCTCACCGTCATCCAGCGTCTTCTCATTCGTCCAGTTGGTTCTTTCCTTCACGTTCTTAAAGTGCGGGTGTTTTTCACTCAGGCCGGTATCGAACACCGCCACCTTCACACCAGAGCCTGCACACACGACAATCCAGTTAAAGTAGCTTCCCTTACATTTTCTAAGATGTGTCAAAGCAGAGACAACGACGGCGAGTTTCCTACCGGTGTGTCCCATCTGCCAGAGGACGTCCGCCTGCAGGATCTGGGCGACGTGGCGAGGGATGGCCCTCAGCAGGCGCCGGCTGGAGTGGCGGCCGGTGGCGTGCCAGAAGCCCGAGCCGAGCGACAGGCTGGTTCGCCGGAAAGGACGGGACGATTGCCACGACTGCCACTTCTGAGTCCCGCGGGTGGCGTTGCAGGGTGCGGCTGGTTCAGGTGCTGCGGAGGCAAAACGACAAGAAACTTAAAGCAGAACTAAAATCCTTCATGTATTATTACTGATAAATCCATCTTTCATTCACACGTCCCGTCTGCTGCTTCGGCCCCTCCAGCAGACGCCGCAATCATCTTATTAAACTAATCACGCTCATCATGTCTCCCTTCTTTCTTCTGTCCCATTAGCCGCGACGTGAAGCTGATCACAGCAGACTCATTTAAGCCAATCACTTGGACAGACCAAATGATCGCTCGGTCATTAGCAAGCACGAGCAGAAGCCTGCGAGCCTTTTGTAATGCCTTTAAAGCAGGAACCGAGCTCAGGGGTGAAGTCTCGTCTCTTATCTTTCCTTCTAATGAATCGCCGGACGAGGGATCTGATTCTGTGGCTCGTGCAACACAAACCCACTCAGATACTCCACATCAAAACCAGGCTCATGTCTTATCCAGAGAAATCTGCATTCGCGGGAGTAAAGAAAGCCACTTTACAGACACTGACTGCTAGAAAACCGAAGTCTTTTCAATATGACACACAATCTTCGGCTGTATTCGATCACTTCGGTGCTGTTCTGGAAAGCTGCTGCTCTCTAATGCATTCTGAATAAACTTCTCAGTTAATCAACTACCCACCTGGCTACTCATTGAGCTAAACATGGAAGTGCTTCTTCCGCATCATTTCCATTGACTTCCTCAGAAATCTCAGGTTCACTTTTAAAATTACGGACTTTAAGGTTGCTAGTTGACAGAACAATGGGCGAAACTGTGACGCTTTTCCTTTAAAGTCCCTCTCTGGTAACTGATTTAACCCCTAAAGGCTCATTTTTGTGCATCAAAGGTACATATCTAGAAGTTTTTTTTTCCCATTAAAATTATCACTTGCTACCTAAATCCCTGCTTCTTTCTCCACTCGAGCACACCAGCTCACCCACGACTCTGCTCAGACATGTAAAGCTGCTCTACACTTCACAATGGACAGTTGTAATATTCAAGTAAAGCATGTTTAAACCAGAAACTGACTCAGAGGAAGAACGATGATGCAGAAAGTCCCACTATGCAAACTAACAGGATTAGTTCTACTGGTTTGTCACATATGGAACCCTGGAGGTCTGAATCTGGGTTTTTTAAGCCTGTGCGCTGCAGTTTTAAGGTGGAAATGCTCATCCATGGAGCTGAATGCTTATTTCATTAATGATAGCACATTAAAAAAAACACCCTGTGGACACGCCTGTGAAGATTCTCCATCATCCAGGTCATGGTTATTCTCTTAGATTCATCGTCGCAACTGGACTTGCTCGAGTTCCTTGAAGACGTTTCCCCTCTCATCCAAGAGGCTTCATCAGCTCTAACTGACTGAACCCCACTGTGGCAGGGGGAGCACTAACGACTCACATAACGAGGGGGAGGAGTAACAACGCCCAGTTGAAACCGAAACTGAGGTGTTAAGGCTCCTTGAGGATA